CAGCACCAGCAGCAGCAGCAGCAGCAGCAGCAAATAGTTTTCATACATGTGTGAGCTTGATGTCCGATAACTCTGCTGAAGCCCCCCACCAAGCAGCAGCAAATTGCTGCAGTTGTTCTGCTGTTGCCTTGTCGCACACCCTGCTGCTGCTGCTGCTGCTGTTGCTGGAGTCTGAAATATGAAGGAACAAAGGCAGCAGCGCCGCCAGCTGTTGACGTAGCTGCTGCAGCAGCGAAGGAGGCAGCAGCTGCTGGCAGCCGCTGCTGCAGCCGGATGCGCCACCCGCTTCAGCAGCAGGAGCAGCGGCTGCTGCAGCAGCAGCAGCTGCTGCTTCTGGAAATAACAGCGCATGCAGCCCTGAGCAAAGCTGGAGCTCCCTGCAGAAGGCACAGCAGCACGAAAGGACAAGCGGCTGCTGCTACTGCTGCTGCTGCTGCTGTTGCTGCTCTTGTTGTTGGCCTTGCTGTTGCTACTGTTGCTGCTGCTGCTGCTGCCGCCGCACGGTTATATTATGCAGCAACAGCTGAGGCTGCATTTGCTGCTGGTGGTATTTTATTGCTGGTATTGTTATTGCTGCTGCTGCTGCTGCTGCTGCTTACTGGCGACGAAGCAGCAGAGATGGGGGCTCCCTTGGCGCAGCCCAATTAGGCAGCAGCTGCAGCAGCAGCAGCAACGCTGCTGCCGCATCCTGATGCTGCTGCTGTTCAGCTTGTTGCTGCTGTAGCTGCTGCAGCTGCTGTTGCTGCTGCTGCAGCAGTGCACAAAGCGCGCCTGCTTGCTGCAGCAGCAAAGCATAAGTTGAGTCCGCCTGCAGCAGCAGCTCGCTAGCAGTAGCTGCCGCCGCCACAAAGTCGGCTGCTGCTGCTGCAGGGGCAGCAGCAGCTGCTGCTGCTGCAGCCGCTGCTGCTGCTGCAGGCAAAGTGCAGATGTGCCGCTGCAGCAGCTGCTGCAGAGGCCGGCCCCCCATGAGCACCAGCAGCAACTGCTGCTGAACCAGCACCGCCTCTGCAGTGCAGCCGCTCCATAGTCCGCTCCTGCTGCTGCTGCTGCTGCTGCTGCTGCTGCTGCTGAGGTGGTGCAGCGCAGCAACAGTAAGGGGGAAGGGCGGCTGCCGCAAGGAAAGTGCTGCAGCAAAAAAACACAGCAGCAGCAAAGAGCATGCAGAACTGCTGCTGGTGTTGCTGCTGTTGCTGCTGCTTCTGTTGCAGATGCCTTTGACAATTATATATAACTTCTCGTGCTGCTCCTGCTGCAGCTGCTGCAACTGCTGCAACTGCTGCTGCTGCTGCTGCTGCTGCATTTGCTGCTGCTACGGACGTACATACGCCTAGCAGCAAAGCCTCTGACTGAAACGCATGCAGCCCCAAGGCGGGCTCTGCTGCTGCTGCTGCGATGGAGCAGCAGCTGCAGCTGCTATTCAAGCTGCCGCAACACGAGCAGTTGCTGCCGCTGCTGCTGCTGCCGCTGCTCCTTGCTGCAGTCCGCTGCAGCAACTGCAGCAGCAGCAGCAGGCATCGCACCCAGGGCTCCACTGTGAGTTGCAGCAGCTGCAGGGATGGCCGCCGCACAGCAGCAGCAGCAGCAGGTGCTGCAGCAGCAGCAGCACTTCTGCTGCTGAATGGGGCAGACAGCAGCAGCAGCGACAACGAAGCCATTGACCTTCTGCTGTCTTCTCCGCCTGCACTCAAGCCAGCGCATTTTGCTGCTGCCTGCTGCTGCTGCTGCTGCTGCTGCTGTTGCTGCTGCTGTTGCTGTCTGGTAATGCGCTGCAGCACTTGAGCGGGTTGGCTATAGATCAACAGCAGCAGCGCAAACAACAGCAGCAACGGCAGCTGAAAGCAGCAGCAGCAGCAACAGCAACAGCAGCAACAGCAAACTTACACAAGGCGTGATGCGAGCTTCTGAGCTGCTGTATCTGCTGCTGCAGCAAATTGAAACTGCTGCGCAGCACTGAAGCACGGAGATGCAGCAGCCGCTGCTGCACGGTTTCTGTCTGTGCTGCATCATGAGGCGCTGCTGCGGCTGCTGCTGCTGCTGCAGTCGTTGCAGCAGCTGCTGCTGCATCTGCTTCCTGCTGCAGCACTTCCCAAATGACCTTCTGCAGCGCGCGGCAGCACTGGAAGAGCATGTTGTCTACTCCTCCGCTGCTGCTGCTGTTGCTGCCGTTGCTGCTGTTGCTGCTGTTGCTGCTGTTGCCGCTGTTGCCATTGTAGCAGCTCCTGCTGCTGCTGCTGCTGCTGCCGCTACGGTGAATGTTTGGTGCGTCTGTGTCCATTGTTGCTGCTGTTGCTGCTTCTGCAAGAAGCTGTGGGGAGGTTGCCTGTGCTGTAGTTGCTGCTGCAGATGCTGCAGCAGGAGCAGCAGCAGCAGTTGCTGCTGCTGCTGCTTCTTCGCAAGTTTGCAGTGTACGGACAGCGCAGCCGTCTCCCTGCAAAACGAACAGCGGCAGCTGCGGCTCTGCTGCAGCAAGGAAGCAGCAGCAGGGAGTTAAAGCTTTCCTTTCTGCTGTTGCTGCTGCTGCTGCTGCTGCCGGTCTAGGAAGCAAAGACAGGGTCCTCTCTTGGGCGTCCCTTGCTTCTGCTGCAGCGCTCTCCCGCTGCAGCTGCTGCAGCTTGGCTAGCTGGCGGCAGCAACGATGCTGCTGCCGCTGCAGCAGCTGCTGCTGCCGCTGCAGCAGCTGCCGATACCGCTCAAGCTGCTGCTGCTGCTGTTGCTGCTGCTGCTGCACAGGGGGCCCCTGGCTCCCACTGAGGGCCCCCCCATTCCCCAAAAGCATAGCCATTACCTTAAAGAAAAAGGGTACACTGGAAGGTGTGCAACATGGCCAGCAGCAGCAGCAGCAGCAGCTGCTGCTGCTGCTGCTGCTGCTGCTGGTCTGGAGAGTGCTGCAGCAGCACAGCGGCCTCTTTATCGTAGCAGCAGCACAGAAGCTCCAGCAACAAAATTAATAAAGGAAAATTAAGTAACATTATGGGGGGCCCCCGCGGGCCCCCAGGGGCCCCCTGAAGACCCATGGGGTGTTGGGGCCCCACAGATTTAGGGTGGGGTTGTTGTGTTTGCTGCTGCAAGTTTTCATTTTTAATTAAATATAATTAAAAGCAGCAGCAGTCTAATTTGAGTCCTTTTGCGAGGGCTTTTGCAGCAGTTGATGGCAGCAGCAGCAGCCGCACGAGCAGCAGCAGCAGAAGCAGCAGCAGCCCAGCAAACCCTCTGTTCAGTTTGCCAAGGAGCAGCAAAAGTGAAATGTCA